ATCATCTTAGTGGCCCTCTGGACTTGTTCCAAGAGCTCTGCATCTTTCTTGTACTGGGGGCTTCAAGCCCCCATGCCTTTTTTTTTCTCAATAAAAAGTCCTTTTTATAATAAGTACATGCAGTGGGACTTCAAACACATAAACTAAGCACTCACTTACATTCTTTAAGTGTGTGAAGAACATACGCAAAAAGACGGCTGTCCTGATTTGTTTGGCAAAAACATTGCATTTTAAAACTGAAATCTATGGAACTGCAAGGTACTGTGAGTACTTCTATGGAAATAAATCTGAATAGATGCAAGTAGCCTCTCTTCAGGCTTTCCCAATTGTGTATGAATAATCCCTCGTGATGGCTGGAGTAGTCTCGTTAAGCCTTTCTTCCTCAATTGTGCCATGCATCTGACAATCAGAACAGTGAAGGCTTTCATCCCAGAAATCTTGCATGTTATTTGGTTTGGAGACAGGCTGCACAGGAATTAGTTTCTATTTTTCTTGATGGTGGCATGCATCTGAGTGTACATGCAGTGAAGTGTTTTAAAAATAGGATTTACTATGACTTCCATGGACCTTGGGGAGGAAGGAAGGTAAACAGGGAGTTGAAATAATAAGGTCATTGTAAAATTTTTAAAATAAAATTGGATTCCAGTGGCAGGCAGCAGAGCCCCATCCAGGCAAGTTTAACTGGCAGTCTTCCAGAAGAGAGATACAAGATCCTCTGAGCAGTAATTGTCTAAATAGAACAGTCTCTGGTTATTGTGCAACTTTTTTGTGTACTTCATTGTACCTTTATAATTAAATGATGTAATTTCTTTTTATCCTTTCTTGTTTCCCTCTCAACTAGAACAGGAAAGCATCCAAGCAACGCTGCAATCCAAGTAATGGTGCGGACAGACCCTGTGGCTTGCAGGTTTATTTTCTGGGTCACTACAAGTTGTGCACAAGGCATTGCGAGCTGGTGATTGCCAAGGCAGGAAACAACCTCCTCCTTGCCCCTGCTGTGAATGGATGCTTACCTGCACTTCAAATCTCTCCATGCATAGTGCTGGAGGCATTTGGTTCCCTAGAATTTTTTGGTGGGGTGAAGGAATGCTGCTTTTGCTAGAAACTCAGTGGCAGAAAAGCAGCCAGCATCTGCAACAGGGTATGGAAAACACTATATTTAAAAGGACATTGAGCAGCAGGGCTATTTCATTCACTGAGGAGAACATGCAGACATCCGAGTATTAGAAGCTTAGAGCATTGCACTGAACAAAACCAGGACCGGCATTCCTTGGCTTGGGGCTTCAGCTATCAAGAATAAAACTCTGGTCCCAAGATGTTAAAAGAGTCCATCAAAGATCAAGGCAGAATCGTAGGATCAGCCCCATAAGCAATTCCTCTTTGGCTGGCCCTCCTCTACATGAGCGCTTCCCCTGAGTCTAAACAGCCTCTTCACAGGAACGAACATTATTCAAGTGAGTAAAAGTTAGCAAGACCGAGCCTTGGTTTGCATGTTTGGCTCCAGTACTTTCGTTATTGATTATATCTTACATATCTTCTGTACATTTTGCTTTGTTTTCAGTTATAACAAAGAGATCAAATCAGTCGTCTAGTTTTGATGCAGTGCTGGAATGTCCTCCAGGCCCTTGGGTTCTTACGTCTGTCTAGCTCTCCCCAAGTATGCTCACATGTAAAAATCTGTTTTAATTCATTGCCTATTTGTCTAACTGTATTACTAACGTAAATGTTTTAATTACAAGAAATTTAATAAATACAGAATAGAATTCCAGCAGTGACCCAGAATCTTCAGAAACAGAACTGTTTTGTAAAACCACTGGCATCAGAATACTGCCAAATACCACAGGGCCTGATCCTGCCACGAGCCATTGCCTACAGCTTGTATTAATTTCAGCAGAGTTCACAAGCAGAATAACTGCAGGGTATTTGCAAAGCTAGTTAGGCTCTTAATGACTATTTTTTATTATCCTTTGATAGACAAATCTACCATTCTCAAAACTGGAAGTTTTGCCTAGGGAAAAGTGTGTCTCTGAGTAAATGGATCACTTAGTTCTGTCCAGTGTAAAAAGACAAAAAAAGAAAAAGAAAGAAAAAAAAAGGAACTTAATAGCATTCACATTCAATTACACATAGTATTAAATGCAATCTTTGGGGCCAGAAACCACATTAGTTTATCCAGTTTTCTAAGAGGTGTGCCATATTAAATTAGCAGCTGGCAAAGGATGGAAGGTAAAAGGCCCACGTATCAATGACCATTTGCCCTGGAGCTGTGGTTTTACAGAGAGGTATTTCCTCAGTGCAAGAAGATGCACTCCAGTCAGGGTATCTGATGACTACAGGTACAGCACATTTGCAGTTCTTCACATTCACATCAGGCATGCTTTGCCCAAACACCACCCCTGCAATCTCCAACTCCAGATGAGCGTCTGGCATGGAAGGCAAGCGAGACAAGCAGCGTGGTGCTGCCGAGATGAACCGCAACACCTGCCTCCTCTGCAGCACAGAGCTGTTTTCAACATCTGACAGCAGCGGCAGATGTACTTATTTCACTGTCACCATACAGCTGTGGGTCGTAAAGGAATGCCTGATATCTTAGGAGGAAAAAAGGACACCAGTTGCTCTCCCTCATAAAGACAGCTCCATATCAAATTTCTAGTTCAGAGATTTCAGCATGTAGGCATTCTTAATAGGTGGCTATTTTACATTACTTTTTGGTAAAGGAAGAGTAAAATCCATTTACTGTTTTTGATCCAGCTGCTAACTTACAGTGGATAAGTGATCTTACAATACCGCTATCCTTGGTTTTATATGTGAGCGAGTCAGCAGCTGTCAATTACCAAGCAGACATTGTATTTGCTCTCCTGCGTCTTAACCCAAAGATGCCAAAGCAACACAAAGCATTAATGTAAACATGTGACTCTTCAGCATAACTGAGACTTACAATATAGGTGAACTCTTCCTCCGAAAAGACCTCCATTGGTATTCAGCATTATCAGTGTCCCTCCTTTCAAGTTTCTTTTAACACACTACAAACTTGTTTGTAAAGCATCCACAGAAAGCCGTCAGAGAAGGCAAGGAATTAAGACACCAACGTCTGCGCTCTCCTGATTCTGGGGCACCAACCCTGAGCATTGGTTCTGTGTCCACCAGCATACAACCAGAGATAGGAGCACAGCGGCACGCACCATTCCAGGCCCAGGAAGCAGTGTGCATTTAGGGTGGCTCATCACATACACACACAGCCTTGACAGCATCTTCCAAAGACTATCCTCTCCCATGTTTAACCACCTCAGAGTAAGGTGCCTCATTTTGTCTATCACTAACACTTCCCAGAGCTGCTCTTACACACAACCCATAGCCAAGCAATCTCATCAGCTTCCGGATATTCTTGAGTCTGGGACGAGATGGGTGGTGAATGAGAAACGGCTAATTTATTTCAACACAAAAAATCTCTCTAGTAATTGAAACTTTATTTGGCAAAGGAGTTCTCCGTTGCGATGTTTGCCCGCTGGCAAGGTTGAAGTTCTCCAGTTGTGCCACAAGCACAGAAGGTGCACATGGCAGAGTGATCCACAGCAAGCCCACACCCTCAGCTAGACAGAGAGTGGAAATCCCTCGGCGTTGGCATGAGCACTGAGGTGTCAGGATGCAGACCCTTGTCCATTGCTAACAGGATTGAAGCCACCAATGCATCCCATGAAGGTCGTTAAGTAGAACTGGACATTAAGGGTCACCAGTAACACAGAGAGGGGTGAAAGGTTCTCCACTACATCACCCGTCTGTGCTGCTTCAGTGCATGTCTATACTGTGCTACACAGCAGTATGACTCCCTTTAACACATACGGAACTAAATGTGTACATTGGCAAGTGCATGTGAAAGCATATCCCTCGAGAATAATCAGCCTCAAGCAACAATTCTGTGTGCATGGTCTGAAAAGGGAGTCAACACAGGCTACCAAGGGAGCTTGGGACAGAGAATACAATGTAAGAAGCAGCGATTTCACCACGGTGGAAATAAATCTCCAGAGAACCATCTGAATGCCGCAGAAGAACCATGGGAGGGAAATGTTATTTTGCTGTTTGGAGCAACCACGCTGTGGGCAGCAAAGATGCTGTCATCCTCTGCTGAATCCCAGTCATCTCACAAAAACATAAATCTTTTGTGGATGGGATGTATAGACAGGGGTTTGTGCGTATCTCCTCTTGCAATACTTCAGATCAAAGAGACATTTGAGGCAAACTGACCATCATCTTGAGCCACTACGTTTGGGGAAAACAGAAGGAGGAGGACCAGAAGACTAGAAAAAGAACAGCACAAAAATGCTACAGGCAGACAGATGCATCTCCACTCTGAAAGAAAATGATTCCTAACACTCCTAATAAATTAATCCAACGTTTTGTAACCACTGAAAATATTCCTAAACGTAGCTTAGTGTAAACAGCAAGCCGGGTTTCCTCCTGCTTGTTAGCATTTCTCTTTGTTTACGCTCCATTTGAGGATAGAAGCCTACATGTGAGCACTACTAATGGTGTCATTCAGGACTGATGGGGTATTTGGGAAGGGAATGACGAAATACAGACATATGTAGCATCTCGTAAAATACTATATACTTTGTCTGAGTCAGCAGGCTCAAACTAAAAATAAAAGAAAAAATACTGAGGCTCTGCTTTATTCATACATTTTACTTCAGTGTGGAGAATATTCCGATACCATGGTGATGGGCTTACAGAGACAGAGACGTGAAAGAGATGTTCTGAGGTGTGTCTGCTCTCACCCCACTGCTGCCTTGCTCCCAAACCCCACATCTCCATGGAGGAGACCCCACAGGAAACTGCCCTGGCGATGCCCTGGGAAGCAGCACCCAGCCGAGGCGCTTTACCCATCACAAGGAGAGGGTTTGGCTAGGGATGCTCACCTCCACCTGGGAGCCCAACCGGCTCTGCTCAGCTCCCACTCAGCTCGGGAGGGCCCGGCACATGTATTTGGTAAAAACAGCCCTTACCTTTGGCAATCAGCTCCTCCAGCTCTTGGTCGAATCCTTGTCGGTGGCATTTCCTCCAGAGCCCCATGTTGGTTGAGTTGTACTGTCTGTTGCACTCGTCGACCGCACTCATGGCAAAGATCTGCCTCCTGTTCCTTGCCAAGAGGAGTTTCCCTTCCCAGCGGTCCAACCTCGACCTGCTGGCCCTGAGAGGCAGGTTGTTGTTGGAGTTGTAAATAAAGCCAGGATCATTTCTCTTAGTGGTGATGCTTTTGCACCTCTCCCTGTGCTTCCGGGCATCAGTTTCGTACCAGTGGTCAGAGCAGATCGCCACAGCCAGCATGCCCAGGGCACACAGAGCTAAAGAGAGGCCAGCATACAGCAGCAACCTTCCAGCAGCCATACCTCAGCTTCACGGGAACACCATGGGCATCTTCACCACAGGCAAAGCCCTTGAGCGCGAGGCCACGCCGAAGCCCCGGAGCAGCCGCCGGCCGTCACTGGGCAGAGGCAGCCTGGAGCATCCCCTCTCGCGCGGCTCACATCCACGCTGCGGACGGACGCCCGGAGCGCTCCCAAGTCGTGCCCCGGGGGCTCGTCGGCCTCCCCTCCCCTGCGGAGGAGACGCGGCGAGGAGAAGCGCAGCCTTCCTCCCTCCCGCCCGCGCAGACGTCCCGCCGCCCTCGCCACGGAGGAGCGAACCCGGGGGGACTCGGCGGCTGCGGCCGTTCCGTTAATGTCTATGGGTCCGGCCGGCCGGGCGGCGCGGGAGCGATGGCTTTCGGCTCGGTGAATCCAGCCCGGCCCCGCAGGACAGAAAGTTCAGCGGGCGGACACCTCCCGTGCAGAAGCGGGGCTCTCCCGGCGCCGAGGGGTGACCCGTCTCTTCTTCCTCAGCCGCTCGGCGCGGGCATCGTCCGGCCGGCCGGCTCGGGTTTAAAGAGGGGTCGAAGGGGAGGGAGCGAGGCGGGCAGCGATCCGTCGCCGCCGCGCTTCAAATCGCGGCCGGAGCGCCGGCTCCCCGGCTGCGGCTGGTAACGCGGGAGAGCGCGGCTCCGTCTCTCCCTCGGCGGACTCGGCCCGAGTCGCTCAGACGCTCAGTCGCTCGCGGCCGCCGACATCCCGGCTTCCGAACCGTCTCGGCTCCTCCCCGCCGGCCCGGCCATCCGCTCGCCCGGTCCCGCCGGCTGCGCTCCCCTCGGGCGGCGCGGCCCCGGCGGTCCGGAGCCCTGCCCGAGCGGCGGCCCGACGCGCTGTGGCAGCGGGCGCCCGGGCAGGGCGGGAGGCGCCGAGGGACCGCGGGGCCTACGGACGCGCCGCCCGGCGGCGGGCAGGCGGCTCCCGCTAGGCGGCACGGGTCCTGGGCCCCGGCATCCCTCCTCCACCCCCTTCCGCCGGCGTTCGTTCGCCTTCCTTCGTCAGCGCCGCTTCGGTTTGTCGCGCGCCGCTTTCTTAGCGCACGGGCGCGTGAAGCATCTGCAGGATGAAGGCAGGGCTACGTACGGCTGGAAGGATGCTCGGGAGCGGGGCGGGGAGCTCGCGGGGAATGGAACCAAAACAAACCAGGGGCGAAAAAAAAAACACCGCCGCACACCTCAGGCGGGGAGGGGAAGGCAGCCCCTAACAGTTGTCAACAGCTCTGGGTCTGCGCCGTTTCTCTGCCATATGGCCTGATCTCCGACGGAGGAGCCGAGGGTTTTAGCTCAGCGGCTTCACGTGAGACGTATCCTCGGCATCAGCAGAGATGTATTCAGACATCTTTTTTTTTTTTTTTTCGTCTTTAAATTTCCTCTCCCTTTCTCTCTAATGGGAATAACTCACCCATCTTGCAGAGATCAAAAGCAACAGAAGGCGTGCCGGAGTCCACGAGCTTTAGAAATCTCATTTCACCGTTTTTTAACCTAAATAAGAGTGGATCCAATCTTCCGTACACCTGGGAATCTTTCCTTGTTCAAACACCGAGCCCTGCAGCCTTGGCTAAAGCCTACAGACAGAGAATACAGAGCGCCGAGCCAAAAGCCAGTGATGTCACCCATGCAACGTGAGACTCATTTCTTATTTCTCTGGCCTCCTTAAAGATAAACTGCACTGCTTTGCAGACAGGAAATGTTGAAGCCTTACTTTCTTACAAGGGGAGAATGTAAAACCTGGATTTAAGTGGATCCTGCTCGTTCTCAGTTACGAGACCTTATGCTGTGTCACCCAAACCCAAGACAACCGTGGCTGTTTCTGACCCCACCTCCTCTGTAACTCGAAGCACGAGCACACCTTGGATTTGAGACCTGGATTCTACATGATCCAGAAAACCGAGGCCTCCAGACCCCGGATGATGCTGTACAAAAAGGAAATAAGCACAATCATTTCCCTTGCATCCCAAGCTCTGTGTCCTGGCACACCCTGCTCTGTAAGCACCAGCGCATCCTTGGGCTGGCAGCAGGGTCCCACTGCACCCAGTGTTTGGCTCCCACAGGCTCCACAGCACATAACACAGCAAATAACGCAGTCGCTCCTACTGCACCAAGAAGCCCACAGCCCCGTGTCTCCCCAGGACTGAGTGTTGCAAAAGCCTACGTCAAAATAAAAAGGCAGCACATCTCCTTGCACCTCAGCTGCAAAGTGGGATTTCCAGCCATGTAAAGACATGTCTCCCACTAAACCGTGTTTCTTTTCAAGTGCACCATGTTGTCAAAGCCCCAAACGAGATTGAGAAGCTCACACTGGGAAGTGCAAGCCAGAGATGCAGTGATGAGTGCATCTGCTAAAACAGCTCAATTGCAAAATTTCAGCGTTGTGTTATGAATATTAACCGTGCCTGGAAAGCTCCAGATAAAGTTGATTGTTTTGTTGAAACAAGGCACCGGTTTACGTATGTTTAGCAGTAACTTCGCTTTGTGGTTCATAATAAAGGTACATTTCTGGGGGTCTAAGCCTTAAAAAAGTAAAATAAAACAGATCAGCTTAGGTGGATCAACTTCTATAACAGGATTTTTCAAGCAATTAAGTTTTATAATAAGCTTGGAGCAGCCATACTTGTCTTCTGTTGGGGGGAAAAATCTAGAGCTATGTGGTCAAAAAGCTGCAGGATCCTATAAGCAGATGGACAACAGGTTTCTTCTGTGGCACCCATACAGAGATGAGTGTGCCTGGATTTCTTTGTCAGTTCTCAGCATCAGGACCCAAGCTGGTGGATGAGAGCAGAGAATAAGCCTGACTTTACCAAACGTTCTCAGCTGATGGAATGGTTGGATTTGAGATTGAAGAATCCATCATCCACTAAGAAGCAGGAACCAGGTGCTGGTTTAATGGTTTCATGGATCTAATGCTGCATTGTGAGGCAGGATTTAGAGTAGGTGCAGCAGGGTTTATTCTCTATTTAGACTACAGAACTGGAAGACTGGGGGTAAGGGCATGCACTTCCAGGTTTTCTCTGTTTCTCTGAAAAGGTATTTCAGCAGCAGTCTCCATGCCTTTTTGTTTTTCTGCCTGTATCTGTAGCTCGATCAGATGGCAAGCTACATCCTCCTGCGAGTCACCTTAAATACACTAATGTAGGAGAAAGTGTTGGATTTCAGGCGAGCTCCACTTTAACTCTTAGGATCAAACACTTTTCTCCCTCACCATCACGATGTCCTTCCTTTCAGGAGGGGCAGAGCACGGCTTGATGCAGCATCACCAACCCTTCCTCTGTCTCTCCTCGGGATTATTCCCGGCAGCCCCTTCCCAGTGCAAACAGATCATTACGAGATTCGCTTCCTCCCACCCCACACCCACCTCGCCACGGGGGGGGAAAAAAACAATCCTTGTCGACCTGCAGATGAATGTGAGTGGGGAGGAAGACGTTTAAATAAAAAAAGTCCACACACACGTTGCAGCCTCGCCCTGCAGTGAATTAAGGATGCCTTGGCAACGGGAGTTAATTCATCGATCTTACACGAATCGGGCTGTGAATGCGCAGTTTTAGCTTTCTGCGGGTTGCGATTTCGGCGATACAGAGGGGAAGGCAGCGCACGTGGGTGCACGGAAAAATGCCTGCAGGCACGGGACAGAGGAGCGGAGCCCGTGTTGCTGGGGGTCAGCTGCTGGTGAGGAGCTCTGCTGCCTGTTAGCGCCCAGAGCTGCCGTTATGCTGCACAGTAGGCCAGCCTCTCGCCCGCTGCCTCCCAGCACTGCTAGCGCTGCCCCCGGCTTCCCTCGCCCCTCACTCCCAAACCTCCTCCGCAAACAGGAGGGCAGGTATGGAGGTGCACGTAGGTGCTGGGCAGAATTCATGAGAACCGATCGCAATTTGCTTTTCTTCGGGTTATTATTATTTTTATTATTATTCATCAAAATGACCTCCACCATATTTTTCTTCTCCCTCTTCTTTTTTTTTTTTTTTTTTTTTTTTTTTTTTTTTTTTTTTTTTTTTTTTCTTCTATTAAAGAAAAAGGGTTCAGTGCCATCTAGTGGGGGAGGGGACTGAGCAAGCCACCACAATCCCCGTTGCTTGGGATCAGTGCCATCGATTGGATTTATTCAGCAGGGAGAGATGATCCACGGCATTCCCCTTCTCTGTGTGCTCTTCATTTCCCAAGAGGTGACGTGACATTTACACGGGCTCCATCCTTCCCTCTGCTGGAGCCCAAGGAGCTCCCACTACTATTGTGTTACCTGGAGCTGCGCTGACCCTGGAGGCACTTGGCTGCTCTAATTACAGGATGTAAAATGCAAGACAGCAATCAAACCAAACACAGATAGGGCAAATTATATCTACTAATGTTTTTTATCATCCAAACGCACCTTGGATACCGGTGTGAGTGAATCCCCATTATGCCAGCCGTACCAACACAGACGCACACGATGCTGCCTCTCACACAGAAGCTTCCCATAGCAACTCCCACAAACAGCTGAGCCATCAGTCCAACAGACTGCAGGGTGTTGAGGGGGTTGAGAACCGAGCAGAGGCTCTGTAAGGGTAGATGTGAACCTCAAAACCCCACAGAAGTTTGTCAACTGCCCTCTCTGACAACTCCCACAGGTTTCTGCTTTGCTGCATCTCTACAAAAAGCATTTGAATTGCAAAGCTAAGCAAGTTAGTGAACACTAGATCTAAGCCCACCCATGCAACATTAATTCACCTCTCACACATGCATGTTATGCTACAATCTCTCATTGCATTCTTTTTTTTTGTTTTGTTTTGTTTTTTTGGTAGGTTCTCCTTTCTTTTTCAGTGCAAAGGACGGATGTTGCTCACTTAATGAATGCTATTCAAATGTTCTCCTATCCTTATCACCCCGACGTGTGGTGCATGTACTATTTACCACAGAGCACCCAGACCTTGCACTGAATACAGAATGATTAATCTCCTCATGGGCTTTTCTATAACGGTGTTCTCATTCTAATGTTTGCAGGGTTGTTTTTTTTTTTTTACAAACATCAATGAAATTATCTTCCCAGTTCCCTGCTGAGA